GGTTTAGGGTTTTCGGGTGAAGGGGTTTAGGGTGTAGGTTTCACGCGGTTATGCTTTAAGGGTTTGGATCTTGTAGACGGTGGTGTAGAGTGTAGGGCTTTGGGCTTGGGGTCTGGGACAGCCGCAGCCGGGAGGTGCCGTGAAGAGCTTCATCATCGAGTATGCGGTGCCTATGTTTCGAGAGGCATGGCTTGGATCGGGTTGTGGGTCCTACAGTTGTGGAGAATTCCATGCAACAAGTTCCTTGGAAAACTACGCTACACCCGAAACCCCAAATCGATCCAACCCTTGCTTAAACAAAACCCGCTCCTGCTCTGGCCCCAGAGCTAGGGTTTGTTCTTCGTCTTCCATCCTTGACAATATGTCCCCTGATTCGTCGTGTTGTCTTGCCATGGTACTTACCTCGAGGTGTCCCTGTGGGATTCAAGAGTACCGATGGATCGGAGTTTCCTTTTGCTGGGAACCCGGGAAACTCTCAGCTCCGCTGCTAGCACGAGAAAGACTGGCACAGGTGTAGCCGCAGACTGCTTTGATTCTCAGCAACGCTGACAAAGCGAGTAAGTGATAAGCACTTGAACCAGGATGGGCGATGCGTGGCATGGGCATGTAGGTGATATAATAAGACAAGTGAGATTGCAGATAAGGCTACGTAGGAGTCTAGATAAACCCCCCTCTCACCCCCCCTCCCCCCCGAGATGTATTCTGGGAGGTGCTGTCCTTTTTAGGATGCAACAGACGGCAAAGCAAACATGTTGTTTTACCCACGCAGGCCTGTGAGTCCCAATCCAGCTGTGTACTACGCTAGAACTTTGAGCAAAGGCATACGTTGACAGAATGGACATGCACAGGCATTGGTTGTAGCTGCTTCACCCCCCCCCCTGCACCGCACCGTCACGGCAACGCGTGCCCCTCGCTCCGCAACTCTCCGTTTATGTATCCTGGCTCCCCGTGGTCAACGAACCCCCCAACAAACACCCAACCTTTCAGAGGGTTTTGGATTTAATGTACAATCGTTTGCATCCTATCAAGAATTGCGATACCACCAAAAGCCTGAAACCCAACGTGGCACAGGCAGACTCCGAGTGTGTTCAGCTTGCCTGGACCTTTGCCACAGACGCCGTCACGGTTGTGATCAAAACCTCTGACAGCAGGCACGTCTGACCCGAAAGCTGATTGGAGGTTCAGGGATGGAGGGACGCCCCAATTGCAAGGCCTTCAATCCTAAAGTGCACATCTGAAGTTAGTTTGCATGGGACAGGGCCGTCAGATTGACATCTTTCAAGACGGCAGCGACCAAGACTCGCAACCCGGATGATTTGGGCAAGGAGTCCTGGGAGTGGTATAAGTTGTTTGTCGGCATGTCCCTATGCATTCTGCATTATTAAACTGAAGTCCCAATTCCTTCCGAAAGGACCTGTAGTCCTACAGCGCAGCTTGCTTCTATGGCTCACTTGACCTTCAGGCACCAACACGTGGTTTGCACTCCGATGGTTGAGCAGCAGGCTCCTGCGCCAGGGCCATCAGTTCCAACAGGCAGCGCTGGTCAAGGCCTGTGTGGGGTCTTCGGCAATTGCCCGGAACTCAATGTCAAAGGCATTTTCTAAGACCAGGGCGTTCTGTTCTCAATCGCTCTGCGGCTGGGTCTGAATCGTTTGGGGATGCCCCGCGGTATTTGGATCCCAAACTTCGCTCCTCCAAGAGCAGACAATGTCAGAGTTAAGAAACTGTTTTTTTGTAGTGAGGTTACCCTTGCTTTCTTAAATATGGACGACCCACATTTCGTCCAAAAGTTCTACTTGAAATTTGAGGATAGCCTCGATTTCTTAGGAATTTCGTTGCGAAGTACAGTTCCGCTTGCAAGAATCTCCCTACTTAAGCTGGTGTGTCTTAATTTCAGTTTCACAAAGTGTTAAAAGGGAAAAAACGCCACTTAATCTAGTCTGAAAGAATTGACGGGCTCATTTGCTTAAACTTAAGACGTCGAGCCCCTGCATTGTTAGTTTTGGGTTTTTGGGAACCGTGGTGATTGAACTTCCAAGCCAGGGCAGGAAAGCCATGCCTCTGCCAACTAAGCCGGGAGAGCCTCAGTCGAAATCCCGGGATTTAAGAAATTGAGGGGCTCATTTCGGTAGGTTTGAGAAAATATCAAGTGAGCCCCTCAACTTCTTAAAGTAGGTTTTCCTTTCAATAGTGCTCACAAATTGGCAAAAGTACAACGCTATCTAATCTCGGCCAAAACTCGACATTACGAAATTCAAAGGCTCAATTTAAGCCTCTGGAAGCCTCTGGGGGCATTTCGTTATTTCGGGTTTTGGCCGAGATTACGTCGCGTTTGTCCTTTTGCCAAATTGCGGAGCCCAACCAACAAGAACACCTCATTTAAGAAATTCAGGACAAGAGCCCCTCAATTTCTTGCATCAACTGATTTCGGCAGAGGCTTTCAGAGGCCCTCAGAGCAATCTAAGGTTCTGGGGAGCCACTGAGGGGCCTCTGCCGAGAACCCCCGGGATTTAAGAAATTGAGAGTTTCATGTTCTTAAATCAACAACTCAGCCCCTCACTTTCATAATTTGGGGTTTGCTATGGGAGCGAATAAAAAAAACACATTGGGGCCGGCCGGTGAGGGTACCCTCGCCTTCTAAATGTAGAGAGACAGCGGATTGGGCAACTTTTTTATATAGCAGCCCTGGCGGAGGTGCTCAATTTCTTAAACCAGTGATGTCCTAGACAGTGCTATCACTGTGGTAATAGTTTCGACTATGACAATTGATCTAGCGATTCTAATCTGAAGTCTGTACAACTGAATTTACACGTTTCACTACCTACTTTGCGTCTTGGAGCGTGGTGTTTTCCCTGAAAGGCCTGTGAGGAGTTCAACACGCTGTGGCTGCAGCTTGGCCAAAGCGTATTGCCTACTCCACGGCACATCTGTGCCCTTGCAACGGCGCACAAAGGGCTGCCTGCCTCGCTAGCCAGCAGCCGCGTCCCTGCCGCATGGATGCGTCAAGTGGACATCCTGACCCAGCAAGATGAGCCGTTGACATGCAGTCATTCGGATTTAGAGCAAGCAGTCCAGCGAATCGGCAAGATGTCGACGGACGATGCCCAAACGTTAGTTTGCCACGTGGTGGACGCCTGCGAGACTTTTGAAATATGAGAAGAAATGAGGCTTGATTAATGTCCCTGCTCGTCAGCAAAGTCTGGAAGTGAAGCAGGTTGACAACAACTAGACGTTTCTCTGAGCTCCGCATGCATGAGACCCACCCTGTAAGACTGTTATGACAGGAGTATGTAGGGATCCCTGCATAATCATCCTTCTCCCTTGTGGTGACTTTTTGTGGATGGCGGGACCTTGTAACTTATGATGTGGTTAGATATGCACAGCCGCATCTGAGCCAGGGTTTGTTTCAGGGGGCGAGTGCCAAATCGCTCGGGGGCATGATGTGACTGTATGTATGGTGTTTGCCAGTCTTTGAAATCCCGGCTCATATCCGAACGCGCTCCGCTTTCGCCGCGGAGGCCACTGGGCACAGGTTTTCCCGAAAGGTGGTTTTTCCTTGCCCTCGTTTCACTCAAAGTTCTGACAGCCAGCAAAGTCTGGAAGTGAAGCAGGTTGACAACAACTAGACGTTTCTCTGAGCTCCGCATGCATGAGACCCACCCTGTAAGACTGTTATGACAGGAGTATGTAGGGATCCCTGCATAATCATCCTTCTCCCTTGTGGTGACTTTTTGTGGATGGCGGGACCTTGTAACTTATGATGTGGTTAGATATGCACAGCCGCATCTCAGGGGGCGAGTGCCAAATCGCTCGGGGGCATGATGTGACTGTATGTATGGTGTTTGCCAGTCTTTGAAATCCCGGCTCATATCCGAACGCGCTCCGCTTTCTCCGCGGAGGCCACTGGGCACAGGTTTTCCCGAAAGGTGGTTTTTCCTTGCCCTCGTTTCACTCAAAGTTCTGACAGCCAGCAGAGTGAATGTCAGTCAAAAGGGCAAGAACTTCAGGATTTCCACGGATCCCTGTATTCCAGGGATCCCTGTACTTGCCGTGCAGGGTCCTGTTGATGGCAAACCCAGCTGAAGGCTCAAGTTTGCTGCTTGACCACTTTTCTTCAATCTCTTATTTTCTACTGTTTTTTCTCCTAAATCTCAGACCCAGAATGGGGCCTCAACCGCCCTCACTGGCCCTCACATCAAACTCCATCGTAGGCTGATCCAAAGCCTTGTCGAGCCGCAACACTCACCTGCACAAAGCCGTGAACCCTGCATCATCAGGCCAGCAACAAGACTCAGTAGTTCAATGCACGAAACGCTGACCCAGACGCCCAAACCTTCTGCCCTAAACCCAAAACTCAAACCCTTAAATCTTAAACCTTAAACCTCAAACCTGACACCTTAAACCTTCCCTTCGACCCTAACCCTTAGGTCCTAAACCAGGAACCTCGCACCTACCCACTCGCAGCACCCGTGCGGCGGGGCCATGATGACAAAGATTCGCCATGGCAGGAGCTCTCATCCTGCCACTGGTACTTTTCAGAGCCGGAAGGGAAGATGTTCCAGACTGAACTGAAAACCTAAAACCCTACTTTGAGGTGAGGACGTGGAAGCCTGGCACAGCAAGCTGGAAAAATCCGTCCACTTTGCTGGAAACTGTGTCAATTGTTGGACAGTGCAAGTGCATGTTCTTCGCGCATTCACAGGAGTGTAGTGCAAACACCTTGGAGTCACTCACTGGTGCTTCAGGTCACGCTGTTGTTTTGATCACTTTCCTTTCACGCTGGCAAGGTCAGCAGCCATGATGTTTTCGGATCTTTTTGTCACGCCCAAAGCGATGCGTTCTTCCAACACGTGAAATCCAACCGATGAGTACGCGTTCGTTTTGTGCCTGCAATTGGGACGAGTGCGCACTGCACGGGAGTGCGTGCAGCTTCCGCTGCGCGGTGTGGCGGTGCACCGTGCTTTCGGACACCAAGCTTAAACCAGAGGCCCTAGTTGTGGCTGTCTCAATGGCTTGGGGCAAACTTCCCGACACCAGGAGATTTCAACGTTGAGTCGCCGCCACCACCACCACGGCCAGCGCCCGCCTTTTTGGTCCAGAAAGCTTGACGATGACAGGGATGAAGAGCTGATACGCAGCAAGCTAAAGACCGTTGAGGACACACAGAGGCGGCAGGAAGCCGGCAATCGCACCCCAGCTGCAGCCCCCAGAATGTTCTTGCATTGGTTGAGGGGAGAGATCGAGGACCCATCGGAAAGAGCACATCACTGCTGGGTCGCGGGACCCCAGCCGCAGTTTATTCTGGGGGAGGAAGACTTCGATCTCGTCGCGGCCCTCGTCTTCCTTTACTGTCCCGCAAACTTGCATATATTGGGGAAGGATTGTCTCGTCACTACAGATTTCCAGCAGACGGAGCATGGGCAAGGCTCGAACCGGACGTGGCGGTTCCGACCTTCAAAAAGGTGTTTCGAGGAGCTGGAGCGGCCGGGGAATCCCTCGACTTCTGAGGAGAGTGCTGTTGCTGAGGCTCATGCAAATCCCACTTGGGCCCCGCTCTTCCCACCCTACGTGTACCAGCCTGGCTTTGGACGAGCGGGCCCGATGGCCATGGCAAGCGCCGTGCCTCCACTGACGAGTTTCGACCTTCTCCGGCCAATGCGCGTGGGCCGCGTGGACGTGGAGATCAAGATCGAATTGGTTTATCTTGGGCGCACAGAATGTCTCCGGGTCGATAGGGTGGAGCAGCGTATGGGGCAAATTGCGCGCAAGCGCCCGAATTGCATCTGGGTCCACCATAGTGGTGATGACTCAGAGCCAAAACAGGTCTTTACTGCTTACAGCTTGGACTCAGTGCCTTGTTGCGCCCAAGAGTACGTGGATAAAGCGGGCCAGCCATACAAGCTGCATCTGGAGGCGGATGTTTTCGACGACCAATGATTTGATGGGTTTGTGTAGAAGGCAGCTGCCCTGCATCCCTTTATAGCGATTGGGTGCAGCGGGGGCCGTAGGATGGTACAGGCACACAGACCTCTCACAGAACCACCGCCACGACCATGCGAGGTAAAATTGTTGGGATGCAGCACACTTCACGTGACCACATCACCCCTTGGCAGTGACCGTGACGTGAGTGGATGGTTGAATGGTTTTGAGTTCACAATTTTGAACAGATTTTCGACTCTAGAATCGCGGTTCGCAACGGAACAGCGTCGGTTTGGGTCTTAGCATGTCGGTCAGCTGTACAGCCCCCGAAACATTATTTGGGGAGACCATCGGATTTTCGGGAAGCTTGCGGATTTCCGCCCTTGTCTTTACAAGGACTTCCCTCGCAAATTAGCCTCGTTTCTGTCAATGTTCCAGAGGTTGACCGTAACTATTTTCATCACCGTCGGCCCTGAACCTTGCAAACAACAGAAAGGGATCTTCGTTCCTAGAGCACTACACAGTCACTACACATTTCACCCTCAGACTGAACGATGGAATGCCTATTCGATTGTAGTGGCATTTGCCCGGAACGTTATCTGCTGATCTTGCCCCGCACATGCTAGCCCGCAGCTCGGGATTGCCTCATGTCTTGGGCGCATGTGTTCTAAACTCGCCTCGCTGAAGGAGCTGCAAGCGTGGGACAAGGTCGAGCACTCCCAGCTCAATGCTGAATGGGCTGTTAACAGCAGTGACTGTTGGACATGCTCCAGTGCTACATATGCGGTAATGTACTACTATCAATACTCGTACCTGCAGCTACAAGAGCGCCGATCAAGTGCACGGCAGCTGGCCATCAGAGTGCTACTCGTCGCATCACAGCAAACCCGTGCTCATAATGCGATGATGACGGTGATGATGATGACGAACGACGGCGAGGCGATGCGGATGGGATGGGAAATGGAATGGTGACGGCGACAGTGATAGTGACAGTGGTAGTGACAGTGATGATGATGCTGGTGATGGTGAAGATGACGATGGCGACCATAGAGATTCTGCTGGGGGTCATGTTGAGCCTGATTTTGATGCTGATATTGATGATGATGATGATGATCCTCCTCCTCCTTCTCCACCATCTTCCTGTCATTATGGATCCAGATGACTGTCATGTTGCAAAGGCAGGTGACCGTGTGGAGGTGAGCCCCTTCCTTTTCATTTGGATCACATACGAGGAATCCATGCACGACAGTTGTCAGATTGGGTTCTGAGTCGTCGGGATACGACGTATCAACAACCAGCAGCAGCCGTTGATATCTTCAAGGAGCGGCCTGAGTCCACGCAATCCAGTCTTGGAAGATCGTGCTCTTCCTGCTTTGCCAGGCCACTGGCCTGAAGTACAATGAAGCTCCTGAGTGCACCGGAGACGTCACAGGTGCAACCCCTGCGGCCTGTGACGAGCTGGGAGCAGATGGGTGTGACGGCAAGTACACTTCGCTTCGGTGGAGGGTGGTGTCTACTCCCGTGTCGAACTGCCTGGCCGTTGGCCCACTCTGCAAGAGGCCGGACGCTGCTTCCATGACCTGCTCGAGCTTGTTAGATTGCGAGGGCAAGGGCTGGAAGAAGACGTGGACGAGTGGGACTGCCACGACATATTCGGAAGACTTGGGCAAGTATGTGCTGCTGGGCTATGTCAAAGACAATGGGGAGATGTCCCGTGCCTGGTTTTTCAAGAGGCCGGACAGCTGGAAGTCGACCCATCCCGCTCCAGCACGAGGGCGAGATCGTTGAAGCCATCCGTGCTACTGATGGAAAGGCGTACGAGGGTGCGGACAAGTCCAATTATGGCGGAGGCTGCGTGGGAAGGGCTCAGGCGCCGGTCGTATCTGCCTCCGCAGCAAGACACCCCCCTCCGGCGGTTGGAAGCCGGCAAGGGAGGTGCCGTGCCAGAAGCCCCTCGTCAAAAAGCTTAGCACCAACAGGCTTCCAGGTCTTAGCTGAGTCTTAGCTGCTCTTTTGGCTTTTCCGAGGGAGCCTCTTGTGCCCCAGGAGTTG